AGGAGTGTAACCTCATTGAGCATAGGTTGCCACCCTATACCCCGATTGGCCTCGTGACTGACCAGATGGCACGAAACTCCAAAATTCTGGATGACTTCACCCAGTGGTTTCATGTAGATGTTAAAAAGCATGGGGTGTCATGACCTTATTTCCTGGTTTCGTGTGAAGCCAGGAAATTAGGCCGTGCCTTACATCTGGCCTGTCTATATTTGAAACAAGGGAGAAGGTTGCCATGGAAATGGGACAATGAAGGGAAAGGGCCAACATGAAGGATAGGTGGCGTGGGGGAAATAAACTGGCAGTTGGAATTTTGTTGCATCCCCTACTGCATGCTTTTGAATTAAAGCCTTCCAACTTTGTTTGTGAGGCAATTCTTTCACCAGAAAGCTACAGATCCAGACATGGGGGATAGAATGGAACCTTGCAGGACCCCCACAGGTCAAAGGCCAGGGGTCCCCCACCTTCAATAACTGGGTGTGATTCTCCAAGGAGCGGAGCCACCGCAAAGCAATGCCCCCAAGACCCATTCCAGAGAGCCGATCCAGAAGGATACCCTGGTTGATGGGATTAAAAGCCACTGAGATATCCAAGAGAACCAACAAGGACACACTCCCCCTGTCTAGCTCTCTGTGGAGGTCATATACCAAGTAGCAATGCCACTTACGAGCAAATATTTGCTTTCTCGTGCTGTGTCTGCTTTGTAGGCCAGAATTTTCTCTCTCTCCTTCTTCAGAGTCTCCAGATAATTCCAAATCTGATCCTGAAGAGGAAAAGAAAGCTCTTGGTCACTACTTTTCGTCAAGGTTTAGAATGGTTTCAAAGATCATACCATCAACCATACCACATTTATTGAATTTTATGGGTGCTTTGGACAATGTTGGCCTCTATTGGAAGCCCACTCTTCTTTTGTTACTACTGCTTCCACAATTATCTTTACTCATAAAAAGTCCCTCCAAATGAAAAAAAGGTATCTGAAAATCCCAGGTTTTATTCCTCTACTAATCAATGTTATTTTGGAGATGCAGTTGATGGATGCTATCGCAGGAGGCAGGCAAAGTGACATTGCATCCTTATTGTATGATGCCAGGTTCATCCTGGTGCCGGTTTGCCCCCTCCCTCCCTAGATATTGTCCGTGAAAATCCACCTATAGCTCACAATCCCGCAACATTCCTGTCTCTTACTTTGATGCAATGTGTCCCATCCCCTTCTGTGCCAGCATGATGGGAGCAAGATCACATCAAAAGATGGGATTCTCTTCCTCTTCACACTTTCCACTATTCCTCACTAATCCAATACTGTCTGACACACACACACACACATAAATTGCTCAAATTGCTTATGGGACTCTGAATGGCTGAATTGGCAGAACTGAGCCAATGAAGAGAAGTGTGATATAAAACTCCTCAATTTGGTATCACTCTAGGTTCTTGTGGGTTTTTCGGGCTATAGAGCCATGTTCTAGACGCATTTCTCCTGACGTTTCACCTGCATCTATGGCAAGCATCCTCAGAGGTAGTGAGGTCTGTTGGAATTAGGACAAAGGGTTTATATATCTGTGGAATGGCTGGGGTGGGGCAAGGAGCTCTTCCCTGCTGCAGTTAGGTGTGAATGTTTCAGCTGATCACCTTCATTAGCATTTGAAGGCCTGTCTGAGCCTGGGAAAATCTCTTGCTGGGAGGTGTTAATCTGTGCCTGGTTGTTTCCTCTCTGTTGTTTTGCTGTTGTAATTTTAGAGTTGTTTAATACTGGTAGCCAGATTTTGTTCATTTTCATGAAAAGGTGCACCCTTGATCCCTGAAAACATCAGAGCCTGGGGAAATATGGAACTCCAGCCACAGACCTGTATTATGGGGTGGAGATGTACCACAACACCTTGCCCCTACATTGGCAGTCTTCAGAAAGAACTTGAAGACCTGGCTGTTCCGATGTGCCTTTCCTGATTAGGAAATCTCCAATAGCAAGCCCCAGACGCACTTTATTAGCATTAAGACTGCCACACACTGCACATTGCACTTGCCTATCATCCTTACATATCACCTGTCACATCAGCACTTTAAATCCTGTACCCTTTACTCTGGCTGGCCCAGTTTTATCTTGTTTGATGTATTGTTGATTGCTTGTGGTTCTTGTTGTTTAATACTGCTTTAATTGTTTTTAATTTGCTTTAAGTATGTTGTATGTTGTGTATTGAGGCCTTGGCCTTTGTAAGCCGCATCGAGTCCTTCGGGAGATGCTAGTGAGGTACAAATAAAGTTTAATAAAATAATAATAATAATAATAATAATAATAATAATAATAATAATAATAATTGTTAGGGGTACCTATTTAACCCCCCGCCTCACCTTGTACTCCTTTGATGCTTCATCCAGAGGGATCACTTTGTGGTTTTCGTGCTCCTTCGACCTGTCGCATACCACACAGATGGGGGCGTCATGGTCCTTGCAGAAGAGCTTCAGGGGCTCCTGGTGCCTTTGGCAGAGTCTCCCCTTTTCTTTCTCCATTTCTATGGCGATCTCCACCAAGTTTGCCAGCTTCCAATTCCGCTTGATGCCCCTTTTCTGCACTTTCTCCCTGCATTGTGGGCAGGAGGCCTCTTCCTCCTCCCGACCTTGATCCAGGCAGGCTTGGCAGAAACTGTGCCCACAGGAGAGGCTCACGGGCTCCTTGAAATACTCCAGGCAGATGGAGCAGGCCAGTTCCTCACAAAGCTTCTTCACAAGGTCTCCAGAGGCCATGGCTACCAATGCTTCTCCACTGCAGAGACCAGACAAAGCTGTTTCTCAGCCTTTCTCTTTCTGGAAAGCAGCTGATGACTCCGCCTCTGCCCAACCTTTTCCTTTTCTCTGTCTTCCTGGGCACCATGCAAGCCGTTCTCTATGCACAGAAGTCCCTTAAAGGCATGGCCAGACTCACCGGGCCAAAGAAGTTGCGGTGCAGGGCGTTCCCCACCGCCATTCTTGCCTAAGGGGGCTTCTCCCTTCCAGAAGCCCCCTCTGATGGCGGGAAGGTTTCCCGCCGGTGGGTCAAGGGGCCAATCGGGTGGCTGCGGCCTACTTCCGGCGCGGGGCCTGGCCTGCGGCCTGCTCACCGCCTGGCCTTCCCCCGCCGGGAATTCAAAATATTCATATTCCTATATATTTATATACGTTTGTATATATCGTCCACCTTCTCAGAACATATTTTATTGTAGTGGTGGCATTGAGTGCCTCTGCTTTAGGCATCAATGCAGTTTGGCACTGATTTTCAGCCAGCGCTCAATGCTAGGCACCCTGGCATTGGCAGTTCCGTGAGGCACCACCACCCTTTCTCAGAGAAGGCTTGGAAAATTTCAACTGCCTTAAATCAAAAAAAAAAAAAAAAAAAAGAATATCCCAGTTCTGTGACCAGTTTTCGCAGCTGTACTGGAAAGAAGTGATTGCAGGAGCGCAGCCGCACTCCAGTGCGCAGGCCCTCCCCCCCCCCTTCGGAGCTGCCTCTAAAGCGGTTGTGGTTTCTGTGCAGTTCTGTCCCACAGGATTCCATCCGCATGGCTCCTAAGAGGAAGTCGGCTACGAAGGCGGCCGAGACCTGGACGGCGGCATTGGCTCCAGCACGGGCCACCAGGAGAAGCAAAGATGCGGAACCTTCAGGAGGGCGACCGGTGCCAGCTGGACCAGCAGCTATCCAGGCCCCTTCAGGGCACGTGGCCAACCAGGAGGCCACCGTGCTGGAAGGGATCTCCCAAAACATGGAGGGGATCTCCCAGAACATCGCCACCATCGTGGACAGGCTGGGTAAGCTCGAGTCAAAGGTGTATTCTCAACCAGGAGCGGCATCAGCTTCCCAGTGGGGAAGGGACCACCAGCGTAGCAAGCGGGGGAGGCGCAGGGAGAGTGACGATAACACCTCAGCTGACTCGGGGCCCAGCGATCAGGCATCCAGTGAGACAATATACAGCGACGAGGGGGAAGAGGTTTCTCCAGGACCACGGCATCGTCGTTGCAGGAGCAAACCGAAAGCAAAGAGGCGTAAGTCTTCCAAACGCCGTCACCGCTACTCTTCAGACAGCGACTCTTCGGAGCGTGAGTACGCCCTGGCTGACTCAGTGGACAGGGATAATTACTGGAGGTCGGAGGCCCTCGTGCCAGGCCTCCCCGAGTGGGCCATCCAGTGCAGGTCAGAGACTAGGGACATCACCGGTCCCCCTTGCAGGGCTTGCAAGTCCTCCAACCCGGCCCTTCCCCCCCCCCTTCCAGGACAATGAGGATCCGCCTGGCTCCCACCTTTCCCCTCGCCTTAGGAGTAAGATCCTGGGGGGTTACTACGTCGATATTTTCACCCTGCTAAAGACACTAGGGGAAGAGGGCCAGAAACCCCCTTCCAAGAGCAGGCATCGGAAGAGGGACAGGAGCAGGCCAGCCAAGCGGACTTTTGCCAACTGGGTGGCTGGTTATACGGAGTTCTCGGGGTGGTCACAGCGGCTTTTCCCGAGCGGGGGTGGCACCTGCTCAATCACCTGAAGCACGTCACCAGGGCCAGAGAACTGGCGGGCGATGCGGCAGCCATTGCTTATGACGCAGCCTTCAGAAAGAGGGCATCCCAGAGCGCCAGAGCCAGATGGGACCTTATCAATCACGACATCTGGCTCACTGAGGTGGGGCCCAGCATCAGAGGTAAGCCAGAGTCTAGGAGGTCGGACAGGGCATGGGGCAGGCGGGACTCCAAGAGGGCAATTTGCTGGGAGTTCAACATGGGAAAATGCCAGCGGGCGCAATGCCGTTTTGATCATGTCTGCGAGTATTGCGCAGGAGGGCACACCAAGATGTCTTGCAGCAAGCAACCGGGCACTTTGCAGCCCTTTCGGGCAGGCCGGGCTGGCGCACAGCCCGGCACCAGGAAGGAGGCTGGAGGAGCCACTACAGGACAGGGTAAGTGAACCCCTTCCTGGCCACTCCGTCCTAGCCAGCACCCCCGTCTCTCTCCCACCCATGGTCCCCTGGCTCAGGGCGTATCCCAACAGGGCGGCCGCATCCTTCCTCGAAGAAGGTTTCTCCTCCGGCTTCCGCATTCCAGCCACGGGACCAAGGAGGGCCTGCACCTCGGGCAATTTAAAATCAGCGGCCCAGATGCCCGAGGTACTCAGCAGCAAAATCGCGAAGGAACTCGCCGCTGGGAGAATCGCTGGCCCATTCCAGCCCCCCCCCCCTTGGACAATTTCAGGGTCTCCCCTCTTGGGGTGGTCCCCAAGAAGGCCCCAGGCGAGTTCCGGCTCATCCACCACCTCTCTTACACAAAAGGGGCCTCTGTCAATGATGCCATCCCTCCTGAGCTCTGCTCAGTCAAGTACGCCTCCTTTGACCACGCTGTCAGCTTGGTGCAGGCCAAGGGACCAGGGGCCCTGATGGCAAAATGCGACATTCAGTCAGCATTTCGGCTCCTCCCAGTCCACCCGGAGGACTTCAACCTCCTGGGATTCAAATTTAATGGTCTATGGTACTATGACAAGGCCATGCCCGGGAAGGCCCTTCTGCGCTCGTTTAGCTCGGGCAATGGCTGGGGTGCGCGCCCCCCACCACAGGATCCGCGTGACGCAAGGTATGCGGGAAGATCTCAGGGTGTGGCTCCAGTTTCTCAGGGGGTTCAACGGGGTGTCCATGTGGCAGGCCAGGTGGGAGCTTGGGGCCGAGTTGCAGGTACATTCGGATGCATTCGGATGCAGCAGGGAGTATCGGTTTCGGGGTTTTCCTGCAAGGGCACTGGTGCGCTGCCAAATGGCCAGACAGCTGGAGGAAGGGTAACATCCTCAGGGATCTCACATTCCTCGAGTTCTTCCCTATCCTGGTGGCAGTGCGAATTTGGACCAACCTATTCCGAGACAAGAGGGTGCGGTTCTGGTGTGACAACCAGGCGGTGGTGAGGGTAGTCAACTGGCAGTCTTCCAAATCGCTCAGGGTCATGAGGCTGGTCCGGCACTTTGTTTTAATATGTTTGGAGGCTAACATCACCTTCTCAGCACAGTATATTCCAGGCATGAACAACGAAGTAGCCGATGCATTGTCCCGTTTCCAGGAGGACAGGTTTCGCTCCCTAGCACCAGGTGCAGATGCAATGCCCACCAGCTTCCCACCAGACCTGTGGACCCTTGGAGATGGGAAGCCTGGACAGGACTGATGGACTCCATCGCGCCAGCGACACAGAAGGCATACCGGGCAGCCATGGCAAGGTTCACCAAGTTCAGGCTGGAAGTTGGATACGGCAGCAGGTGGCCAGTTTCTGAGGATGAGATTGTACACTTCCTCATCCACCAAAGGAGAAACAACGTGACTGCACATTCCATGCGGCTCCAGCTAGCGGGGATTGCCTTCTACAGCAAAGCAGCCGGGTTTGGCGATCCATGCCAAGCATTCAGAGTCAGGAAGCTCCTCTGGAATTGGAGGAAGCACACGCCCAGGCAACGGGACACCAGGCGCCCCTTATCATACAAGACCCTCAGTCAAATCGTCCAGGCACTCAAAGGGATCTGCCCCTTGCGATATGAAGTTAAGTTATTCACTGCAGCCTTCACAACTGCTTTCTTTGGGGCCCTCCGGCTGGGGGAGGTGGTGGCCAATTCCAAAGCTGATGCCTCTAACAGGGCCCTGCAGCTCAAGGACATCTCAGTTCAGGACAATGCCCTGGCCCTGAGGATCCGCAAGTCCAAAACAGACCAACTGGGAAAAGGGGTTTCACTGCTCATCCGGGGTTTGGAACCAGGGCATTTGTGCCCCCTGCAGTCCCTTTCCACGTTCCTTAGCACGAGAGGCTCTACTCCTGGCTGCCTTTTCATCCACCGAGACGGCAGCCCTCTCACACGTTACCAGTTCATGGCTGTTTTCCGAGGAGCCCTCCAGCATTTGGGCCTCCCTCGGACGGAATTTGGTGGGCACTCCTTTAGGATAGGGGTGGCCACCACAGCTGCTGCGGGTGGTGTCCCAGTTGAAGTAATAAAATCCATGGGGCGCTGGAAATCCTCAGCTTATGCGTCCTATATCAGGCCGGGCCTTCTCCTTGAAGGAACCCGATCTGCCGGCTGTTCTTTTTCTTCCATCGACAGGTCGGTTATGGTCGGGAAGGGAAGTAGGAGTCATGCGCGGAGCAGGCGTGGAACAGCGGCAGTCAGGCGTCAGCATGGCAAGGACGCAAGCTGAGGACATGGTCTGGGAACGGAGACATGCAGGAAAGGACAACAGACATTGGGGGCAGGAGGAAGGAGCTCCGCCCACATTACATGCAGCCCCTCCAGCGGGCAAGAACAGACCCAGATTCAGTAAAGGACCTTAAGATGGCCAGTTTTGCATTTGGGCTTCCTTTATTGAGCAGGCTCTGGGGTTGGCGGCAAGGGGGGTGCGGTTCCCACCCACCCCCCCCCTTTTGTGGCGTGGGGCATGGGCCCTGGATCCGGTTTGGTACCCCCCCCCTAGCGGTTAGGGGGGGACGCTCGGTGGGACCAGGGGTGCCGGGTTGCGTTTGCCTGGTATTGTGCCGGCGGCCCCCTGGCGTGCTTGGGATCAGGCAGTATTGGGCTGCCCGATCATGATCCAGGACCCATGCTTGGCTGCCAACCCTTGTTCCTGTTATCAATAAATGAGTTGTGGCCATTGTTCATCCCACATCTTGTGTGAGTGTACTTCTTGGGTTGGCGGTGGGAGGTGTATCTCACTTGCACACGCAACTTAAAAATGCTTCTTTGGCTACTGGTGTATTTCCAGGCACAATTCATTCTAAGGGCTGGTTGCAACCTATAAGTCCCC